TAACAAATATTTTGAGGTGAAAAAATGAATTGATCTACGTATTGCAATCGACACTAACAATTCACGTAAATTACCAGAAAGATGTTAAAATATGCACAATATTATTTACTGCATTAGTAACACAGTAGAAATATAATGATAAATACTGCAAAATCAGTCTTTAATCGCACGTAACATGTAAAATATGGCTTGAATCTTTTTAATTTTCTTGAAATTTTAGTATATTTTTCTCATTTAAAATGAAAAATTTGGCTCATACAGACTCATTCAGCTTTAAAGAATCAACAGAAGCAGCAAAAACGGTACTCTCCCACCCCCAAATATATAACAGCAACAGCAACTATTTTACGATTACCTGTCAGACTTAAGAAATGCTTCAATTGCTCGAATAAGTTCTCCATCATCTTCTACGTTATCGTCATTTGTTTGAAAATCTTCAAGTTCGCCTGTCTGAAGATGACCTCTTGATACAGCATCGTCTTCAGATTGATCAACGTCAGTTAAGACATTTATCAATCTTTCTAAAATCTCCCGGTCATCTGTAAAAGATCAAGGAAGAAATAATTTAATTGGAAATTGTATTCGCATTTAAAATATATTATTCATAATTAATAGGCTGTAAATAGTTTTCATTTATTTTTTTTTTCCAATTTATAGATAAAATAGAACATGAAGAAAAATAAAATGTATATGACAAAATGTTATTGGATTAGATAATTAAATGTTAAATCAACCTTGTCGATGGGAATCTGTGGTCACCTTGTTCGATTACAATTAAATACGGGGTCAAAATTTTGGCGTTGTTAACTTTTATTGTTGGTCACACATAGAAGAAAAGAGTGATTCGTACAAAATATTATCTCAGTAACTCAATTCAATTCAAATAGTTTATTTACGTCTCATCACATGTACAACACATATATCACAATCAAAATGAATAAAAAAGGTAAAAGTACATATGCCATTCAATATAGAATTATATGAGACGTGTAAGCAAAGCTTACATCTATAGGTAAATATAATAAAAGATCATATTTACATACTTATATGATTATATACTATACACACTTATAATAAATGAATTGGGAATGCTGTGAATCTATCATTTTTAAGCTTTCATATTCCTAATGTGTCTAAAAGTCTATATATAAAACAATTCACTAGTCTGATGTACAACAGTTCTAATGAAAGTTAAGAGGAATAAAATACTAAAATGTATAATAATAAAATAAATTCAATCTGTAAGATTCACAACACTCTATCTTAAAATACCTACTTAATAAAAGGAATAGTTACCTACAATAAAGTAAAAGGCGTCTATGTTTTAAAATTTATAAAGCAGGCTTTGGCTGTAAACTTAGTCATACATGGATTAACAAGAACGTTATGCATTTTCTCCACATCAGATAAGTTGTCAAAATTATTAACAAATAGGTCTTCCCTGAATTGAAAATAGAGTGGACAGTGTAACATAACTTGTATCTCATCTTCTACGGTTTCAGTACAGTTAAAACAAGTTCTTTCATGTATTGACAGATTTTCATACCTCCCCGTTTCCAATCTTATTGGTGCAACACCGCATCTAAATAATGCCATAGCTCTTCGATAATGAAAAGACAAATGTTGTTTTACATAAGTTTCAGTTTCAAAAACATTCTTGAACATTCTATATGTTCTTAGCTTATTTCTACCATTTCCTGATATTGATGACACACGCTCTAATGATTGTTTCCATTTATTAACTTCTACATCAATTTTTTCCCCTCATTTTTTGTTACAATTGCTTTAGTAATTACTTGATTTGTGTTAAAATAAATCTGGTCTTCAAAACTAATGCTCTGTAACATTTCTGTAATTCGAAAAATACTAATACTAGCTACTGATCTTGACCAATTAAAGACTTTTTTATTCAATCTTGAGTCATGCATATTTAACATTCTACAGTGTTGTCTTATAACAGCGCCCCATTGCTGAACTATCAGTGGCTTCCAGCCCATCTCACCTAGGACTGCTGAATTTGGGGTTAAAGGGTAGAAAGCAATATCTCGTGAAATATTTTCATGGGATTAACAAACGGTAAAGTTGTTTCCATACCCATGTTCGAACGAGTTGTAACATAAAATGCCTCTGCTATTAAACATATATAAATACTGTGCGTAAACAGAATAAGATGTTCCGCAATAAAATATTATGCTCCTATTTTACACAGATTTTTAACCGTTAAGGTAGAACGCGACACTTTGCCAACTTTCGAGTAGCGTCTTGAAAATTGGCACGCAAAAAATTGACCATATTTCTGATTGGATTTCGTTAATTTTATTTCAATAGTTTCAGCCAATTTTTGTACACACGACGTCAAAGTTGACCATTAAAGTCCGTTTTTGAACATGACGTCGTTACGTATCCTTGGCAACTGTTACGTGTATTTCAACGCCATTGGCGGACAAAATATTTTAAATTCTAAAGCATTCGACGGAAATTAATTTTTCCTTTAAGCTGATATAAAATTCGCTATTCGCTGACAATGTAATATACCAACATATTTCTTTTATGAAATTATTGTTTTTCAAAAGTCAAACCTACTGGCAACAGAGATATAACTTTATATACACTTTAATTAATTGTTGTAAACCTATTTTAGTGAACAAAGTTGTACTGTTATTTCTCCTCTTGTTTAAACAAAGAAACAATTAAAATGTAGACGTAAATTGTCGTATAAAACAATATATGGCGGATAAAGCATTGATTTCTGGCGACGGACAGATTTACTAATGTTATTTGAACTTGTGGTCCAACCCTTTTTCTTTCAAAATGTATTTATATATTTTTCTTTCTATATATTTGCATTGTACATATTGTAAAAAATTGAAAGGAACTAAATATGTTTAAACAAAAACTTTAAACTACTTTCTGATAGTTGTTTCGTGTAATTCAAAAGCCTTTTCATTTTACCAGCACTAACTTACATGCCCCTATCTCACACCGTTTCTGAAGTAAAAACGGATTATAATATTTTGCATAATTATTTTTTAATATATATATGGGGTATTTTAGCAAAATAAACACTATGTATCCCGATATAATGCGATATAAGCTTACCATGTGAAAACAAAATTACTTGTTTTTGAAAATATTGTGTATATTGATATATGTCTATTCGCCTTCTCAAAAATGTGATTTATGTTCCTTAAAATTGCTTTCAATAGCATAAAATACATATCTTAATACAAATATGAGATATTAATAAATTGTAAATAGATGAAAATTAATTCAGACACGTTCTGTAATATTTTTAGTAAATACATGCATTCATTTGTGTATTAATTTTTAATAGTATTATTAGGCAAATACAATCACATAATTTAAGTATCATTTTTATCCCATAGAATGAGGTTTTGTGTTAAAGACTTGGTTTGGCTTTACTTAAGTTCACATAAAAATTGTCAGTTTCGCAGTTTATGGATATTTAAAGCATTCATCGCATGCTGTATTTTAACAGTAAGTTCAAATTAAGGAATATTGATTCATTTTTGCTTTCTTACTGTAATAAAATGCATTGCTAATGAACACTTAAGAAACTAGATCACAGTTTTCTTAAATGAATTTTGATTTTATTTGCCTTGGGAAAATGCATTACTGAAAGATTGAGTGATAGGTCATGACCGTAGCGCTTTTATAAGTGAGTGCGTAAGTTAAAAGATATTTCTACTTTGTATTTCGTTTAATAGAAAACGTATAAAGAAGAAACTGTAATAAAATCACTGCGTATACCATTATCAACCTTTTTATGTTGGCTATAAGCATTGCACAATATGTTTAATGTTAAATAATGTTTATGTTATGTAATAAAACAGATAAGTACTTTAACATGATAAACGATAATTAACTTGGAAAATAACTGAACAATTATTTAAGATATTCCCAACCGGCATTGTAAAAGAGTCAATTGAAATATGAAGAATGCTAAAATTTTATCATGACCTTGCTACAAAGTAGTGTTTAGAAAAAAATGCTTCGGCCTACTTTCTTTTTACCCCATCCTATCTTAAGAACATTTTTGTTTTCAATATGAAAGTTTTCTTTTTAAAAAAATAACGCCTGTGAAAGACTTTCTCTCATTCAATACAAGATGACTTCTAATAGAGAAACAAATATTGAAATGTGAAACTTTAAGAAATTCAACAGTTTATGGTTTGAATTTGTATAACACTATTTATAAATGATGTACGATTGATGATGTGTCAAGTTGCAATCCAATAAAGGCAAACGTGTCGGAAACAGTTCTGCGGTGCTTAATTCAATTTTATATTAAAACGGACAACCATAACGTATATACATTGTAAACTAACCTTGCTTCTATCAAAGAGTTAACGATCACGGTTTATGTCACGGACCGTGTAATAACCAAAAGCTCATATTATTATCAGTTGACTTCAAATGTAATATTTTGTACAAAGATCAAAGACATTAAATGAAAAGAATATTTGAAGTTGATATATCAAATGCACGAATAATTCACATCGAATTGATAAAAGATGTTGACCATTCGACCGACATTCCCTTTGACGAAAAAATATAAATAAATAAATTATGACCTATTTCTTTTCTCTTCAGTTACGAATGATTTTAAATCTAAATTAAATATAATTTTGATAGCACGTATAAATGCGTAAACAAAACAACTCGTATTAGTTTTTCATGGTACTGTCATCTGAAGGATTTGAATTAAATAAAAAGCGGTTATGCGCTATTGGTTAAAAAGTTTCCCATTTTATTTGCGTGGGTTCTAAACCTAATGTCACCATTATAAAACTATTTAAAAATCATTTGTGAGTTCTCATTCATGCGTTCCGGATATCCTAGTTTTGTTTGACGTAGTTTTGTTTAACAATAAACAATTTTTTATTTAGATCAATGATAAATGAAACAAATACATGACATTGAAACACCATGTATCATAGATCGGCATAAAACTTAAGTATACCTACACTTTTATAAATTAAAAGCACATTATAAATGCTTGACTAGGCAAGCAATAAGCTGTATTTTCCTCATAAAAATCATATTAGAAAAAAATCAGATTTTATATTAAATGTTACAATGGGGAAGACTGTGTTGTTTTCTTTAGTGTTCATTGGATTGATAAGTTTGACTTATACTCGCAAAGAAGGTTTGTTACACAAAGATATATCTAAAATGCAACGGTACATAGTAACAAAAAATAACTCAAAGATATGTTAAAGTGGTAGTTAAATAATAAAAAGGGTATCTTTTAATTGTTTCTATTTTTGATTTAAGTTAAGTGTGTTTTCGAATAATTTGATCTTATATGATTATGGTTTATGTACGCAAATGCCAAAGATGTTTTATCTATCTTGTTAAATGGTGGTCTTTCTTTAACCGTCGGTGCCAACCCAAAGACACTAAAAAAAGAAAAGATTTAAACGGACATTATTTATATTCGGCTAAAATCGTAGGTAAACAAAATATAAACAAAATGCTGATTTGCGCAGAAACAGGAAAACTTGATTAATACTAACACAAAAAAATAACGATAGCAGGGATCAAAATAATGACGAATTTCAAAATAAATATCAATATTTGGATCAACATTTAAATGGGCACATTGTAAAGTACAATACATTTTTTCAAAAAATCCATAAACATGCTATTTTAAGTTCATTTTTATGAAGGCGATATTAAAAACGAAATCAATGAGATTAAACAATTGAGATTTTTTAAGTTTTAATTTTGGTTCTAATCTTGTTCTTAATGAACAAGAGCATTTAACCCGGCAAAGACGGAGAAAAGAAAAAAGCTACAGTATACGTATAAATGTTCATTTACTCAGATATATATATATATATATATATATATATATATATATATATATATATATATATATATATATATATATATATATATATATATATATATATATATATATATATGACTCAAGCTTTATACATGTATAAAAACTTTTTTTTTCATTCTTGTGTGTTTCTTGTTTTTTCTTATTTTTATTTGATTGTGCTGTAAAAAAGTCTAATCATTAAAATTAATTATTTTCTAACCGCATGGAAGTGATTCGACCGTTGATAATCATGATGCAAGTTAGACCTTTGTTTTGTAAATAATTATGTTTCCGAACTATATCGCCATAAAAAGAAGCCTATTCGTTTTCTCAATAAAATTACATGCTATCAATTTCATATCCATTCTACGATGTTTGAGTGTACTATAATTTTACTTCTAGGTGGAAAGTATATAACTTAAAAAAAAAGAAATATTTTACATTATTTTGTACTGTTCAGTGTAGACATCTAAGTGAATATACATATGATCGATCATACATGGTAATTTTTGTTTCAAATATTCCAAACTTTTTGTAGAAATGCATATATAGAGGTCTGTATATATAGATGTATTTCTATTGTGTCATTCTTGAAACATTTTTTCGATGAGATTTGTAAAATAAATAGATTTCGCGTGAAATCAAATCGAAATATAATCAAGGTAGAAGTAACTGTTTTTTTATTTGTTTTGTTTTTGTTGTGTTCTTTTTTTAAAAGTATATTTCATTGAATATCGCCTTTTATTTATCGTAAAACGAATATGTTTGAGACAAGAGCTTTTAAATATCCAATTTTCAACCACTAGAATAGAAGGAACATTTGTTTTAATGTTTGTAAAATGTTGAATCATAGTACAATTATTTAATCAAACGCCATTACAGTTTATCACGATTTAGATATAAATATATCACTGGGTACAAAGTTGTATGTAAAGGTAATAACGTATTTTGCCGTCAGCATTATATTCATTTCATTACCGCACCTATTTCAATATGAAATAATTATTTCGGGGCTTTAAAATTCATCACCCAACCTTAGATCCCTTACGATAATGATAAAAATGATATTGATATTTTGTTTAACACACAAAAAAGCAACACACAATCATTAGTTAGGACTATTACGCTGTGAACTTGTATAATGCACATCTTGATAAGATTTGCATTTTTAGTATTAGAATAATGGTTAACTCAAGGCTATTATTATTTTTGTTTTAGATTTTTTTTTGCAGCGGAAAAAAAATAAAATATACATAAATAGTTGTAAAATTTTGTTCTACTTTGTTCTTTTATGTACATGTATATAGTAAAACCTATTTCATGCAGTTTACAATCTATATTAATTTTCTAAATCTCCTTTTAGATGACAGTGAGCTTTTACAAAAGATTATCGACGCTCTCTCCGATCCAAATGATAAACACGACGTCTTGAAAAATATTAAAAGGAACCTGGGATCAAATGACGTCAGAGGTATGAATGAAAGAAAATCAGACAAGGACGAAAGAATTGGAAACAATTTTGGAACAAGGCAAGGCTCAGGAGATCCTAATGGACATGAGTATTACGTCAACATTCCAGAACATACGTCACAGCATGTACATAAAGATGACGACCTATACCGGGCAATAGATAGCTTTCTACAAGCTAAAAGGTAAGTTTTGCTTGTTTGGAGAACACAGTTTATGTCAAATGGTCCAGAAACAGGACATGTGATTGTGGCTAAACTAGGATGCTACAAACTTAAAGCAACACACAGGGGTCAGAACCACCTAACCTGCTAAAGCTAAGATATGTGTAGACTATAGTTATTCGGACCCATTTATAAACTAGTGGTCGCCTCTCACGATCACGCAGGGATAAATGGTGACTGAAGTTCTGATGCTTCAACCATGAAAGGCAACACCTCAGCCACAATTGGAGTAAAATGTAAGTATAGCTAAAGGGTGAAACATAGCTGAGCATGTAGGCATTGCCTTAAAGAAGGAATTTATTAATTTACAATTTATTTCCATTCATTAATATTACTAAATATTTCATGACCAAAACTTCACAGCTTCATGACATAATAAGTTGAAAAACAATGGAACAATATTTCGACTTTGGTTGTACACGTATAAAAGAGCTAAATATCGTCTTTTATATTTTCCTTATAAGGTAAAAATGGAAAGCAAAATAGTAATATGTCGTTTTAAGACAAAAGAAAACAAACATTATTATTTCTTTACAGAGCTCGAGCATGGTTAAAATGGCTCGAACATGGTGGGCATAAAGGTACAAGCACAACAACCGCCGCAGCACCTACATTCACGACGACTGCACCGACAACACTACCCCCAACAACTGCTGCACCGACCACTGCACCGACTACTAGAAGAACGTATATCTCATGGTGTAGAATATCGTGGTGGGGTTGGCGGAGGAGATGTTAGTGAGCAAATTCTCATCTGTGAAATTTACAATGCAGATATTCAAACTATTTTCTAGTCCATAGGTGTGTTAAATTTTTAAATTCACTAAAAGCAATATAACACCTGATTTCTAGAATGTCAGCTTAAGCCTTGAAAGAAAATTTATACATAAACAATATAAATGGTTTCTCACTTAATAAGAAACACACCATTTTTATCATTAGATACGAAGCATAATATTCTAAAACCGAGCGATATCTGCTTAATTGTTTAGATCTTGAAAAACTACGTAGATTGTATTTACCATAGTGCATGCATAGCTGTGGTGTACATCGTACCATTTTCAAGAATTAATTTACCCTTTGAAAAACATTGTCATTTATAATATCAGTATAATCATGTTATATTGTAGAAATAGATTCAACTTTACTGCATTTGTCTTTTTTATATTATTATTCTACTTCCGCCTTTTCAGAAAATAATACCCCCCCCCCGGTCCAACTGAATGTAAAGGATGTTGATAATTGCAGTTACTCTTTATCGTAGCTGAAATAAAACTTTAATTAAAACTTGAATATATAACATTTATAATTGCATTAAGAAAAAGAGTACAATCATAATAATTACGCCTGTCAAGATACATCTACGGTAAATGAATGAAATGGGTGATAAAGCTGTAGGTAATTTAGAAATATTCCATGACCTGCTGGGACCGAAAGAGATAAGCCTTTTATTATAGAGCCAGGCAAGGCTGCACATTTTTGATTTTTGAGGTAGGAATTTGCAACAAAGCATCTTTTAATACAATGCTCTTTGTTTCAAATAGAACTACTCTGATAAGAATCGAAACATTCACGTAAGTTTCAATTCCGAGATAGCCAGTGCTATCTTCTGACTATCGAATGTCGCAAATTTAAGGAAATATGGTATATGATAGTATGGTAAGTGCTGTGTGGCAGCTGTAAAAAGTTGCCCCGTACTTCACCTCAGTGTTGTTATATTTTTCTGGTCCTTCGGGATCATTAATGCCAGCACTATTAAGTGTTGAGAACTGAGTACCGCTCAAGCCGGTGCCAAGGGGCGTGAGGGATGTTGCACTTATTCAGTATCCCTCATGTACAGACTCAATCAAACCGAGTATGCAGTTCTCTTGTAATTTTGTTGTGATTAATGCTTCCGAGGGATCACTTTGCTTGTTACCAAATTTTGAACCCTTCACTTCATAAATGATGGATTTGAAAGTTTTTAAGGATGCATGCACGCAAATGTAGAGAGAGAGTTTGTAAGGTTGTATTTTTCATTTTAAACATTGCATTTATTATAACGTTGTATGTCATCGTGCAGAAAATACATTAATTTTTGTAGAAATAAAATACAATATATAGAAAAGATTAATAAAGCATATGCCATACTATTTACGTAAAGGATTTACAAGAGCATGCCAACTCTTACATGAATTGGATAAGAATGATCTTGACAACAAGATTGACGCTGCCATAGATGTCTGAGAAATCATGTTGACTTGAACACATACAGGTATTATGAAATTAAAGGAGAGAAAGCAAATGGCGTTCTTGAATTTCAAACAAGATTGACAGCTTTGTGGTTATGGCAGATAGCATTGGTGTCACGTGGTGTGTATGGATGGCGGAGATCCATGGTTCTCATACCAGTCCTTCTTTTTCTTTTAAACGAATTAGATGTATCTAAAAAAAATTACAAACACATACTATGGCTGCAATTTAATGGTAACACTATCATTGAAGGGGAGGTAACAAGAATTAAATATTCATAATGGTATCATCAATCTATTTATTATAGAAATCTATATTGCAACTGGACTGCTGCTAGTATAATGTCCATGATTGAGTAAATGGTATTTTAATTTGAACATTTACCTTTTTTCTTATTTTGGACGATTAATTAATACATGTATAGTGTATAAAAAATACGATTCTGATGAAGGCGAGATAAAAACCGGTTGAGAATAAATAATCTCAAGCAGCTCTGGTGTTGACGTGTTGTAATTCTCCATTTTCCTCTTATGTTGTGAATAACCAGTTGACAGAAAGTCAATACTGTGACTGAACTTCATTTAAATTAAAACATTTCAGTACGACATTGCTGAGATACCGTAAGAAAATTATTCATTTTAATATAAATTTATAGTCAAGGGTTTGGAAAAGCGCACGCACGACTGTGCCAGCAGTAAGTGTGTTTGGTTTTTAGTTTTACGGCGCATCAACACAATTTAGGTCATACGGTGCCGACACAGGAAAGATGATTTTGGTTTCCAAATTAAAGCAAAAAGCAAGGATCCAAGCACTTCACCTGCACTGATATAACATATCTAGGATTTATTCCAATACGACATTATAATACAATTTACCGGAATCCCTTTACTCAGAATCTTAATCAATTGTTACTAAAATTGGGCGAGGGAGACAAGTTAAAACAAATGTATTTGCACATGGAGCATTTATACTTTTCAATATAACAAATCATACAATTATACAATGAAACTTGAAGAAAAAACAAAAACATGCAAAATACATGCAGAACAAAATCCATGTTTGAATAACTGTTAACATTCTTTTTCACAACAATTAAAACATTCTCATAATAAACAGTTTGAAGTAAAAATAAAACAACTGTTACAATCATTAACAAGTAACTTTTGAAACTTTACAATGAAATCTTACACTGAAAACTTTAAGGCTTAAATTTGTCATCCAACTTTTGAAAAAAAAAATATGATATCCTTTAAACAAGGGTTTCAACAGTCCTACTTCAATATGTCACATCACAGATTAAATGTTTTACAATCATAATGAAGTTATTATTGCAACCAAGATAAAGCATTTTAACATGTTTCCTAGCAAACAATGCTGAATAGTCAAAAAGCAAAAAAAAATTATATAAAATTGACTAAAATGATGATGAACAATTGTTGATTTGACACGTAAACTACAAAAATTACTACACTATCTTTTTACAATGTTTTAAAATAAGACTTAATGATCTTAATGTTTCAACAAAAACAAAAAACTTACAAATTTATTCACACAATGTTTAGAAACATCCAAGATTACGTTATTATATTGGTCTAATACTGACTAACAGTGGTTATTTTTTTTTTTGGACCAGTACTATGGTAACTTACTGATGAGTCAAGATTTAACATAGTTAACATCAATTTTGATAACCTTCACAAATTACTGGTGTAATAAGATAACATTCAAACTTAAATATTCATAAACATGTATATAAAATGATGAAAAAAATATCAAACTTACCCATATATAATTCAGTTACTTACAATTTTAATCAATTATGATCGAGCTATGACATGTGATAGAAATAGACCAAATTAAATTTCAATAAGTAAACTACACTTGCAACATCATCATCAAAATATTTCAAACAGACATAATTTTAATCTAAATCTTTAAAAGTCCAGGCATAAAAACGATTTAGAAAAAAAAATTAAATATCTGACTCACTTTGATTAATGTTTTTTTAATGTGGTGTACTTAAACATTAGACACTTCCAACAACCTTTAGCACAAATATAAGTATATAAAATATAATTCTGTAGACAGAAATATGTCTTTTTTCCAATTAACTTTTCACTTTGAATGGTTTACATTTCAAACATGTCTACAGAAAAATTCTGCATAAAAAGATTACCCCTAAAATTAACGGAGTCCTCTCTTGATTAAGTGAAGTAGGATAAAAATAAACTGGGTAACCCAGTTTGGGCCGCAAAAAAGTAGGATAAAAATAAAAAGTATTATATAATATCAAAGTTTCTGAGCCATTAAAATACCTTTAAAACATCTCTTGTAAACAAAAAAAGACATATTACCACATTGTGACAGGACACATTTATTTCACCTTATACATTTATTTCAACAATATACTCATTTCACCTACATATTTCTTTGAATAATATATTAATTTAAACTTCACTTTTATTTCACCTTTACATTTACTTCAGCAATATATTCTTTTTCCCTTCAAATTTAACTTCAGCAATATATTCTTTTTACCTTCAAATTTATTTTAATCATTTCAATTTAACTTTTATTTCTCGAATCAAAGTAAATTTATTTCACAATTAAAAAAGTCAGTTTTTTTGTAATAATAATTTCTGCAGATACATATATTATTACACTAAACATACAACTTCAAATTGTCTTGTAAAACTACTGTATATAATACTGAATAGAAAGTGATATAAGTAAAAATTAAACTTTTATTAAAAATATATAAATTAATAATAAATAAGATACACTGTAAAATTAATGCAAGCTTATTTTGTTAGATATACAGTACATGTTTGTTTTCTATTTTACAAAATCCAGACCTTAATTTGTATTTTTTATTTGATAAGCAACTAATGGTTACAAAAAAAGCACATGTTAAATATTGAAAAGCAAAACATTGTTGAAAAATTGTAGATAAAATTTAATCTAACAATTCAGTACAACATGGTCTTTCTTAGTGCTCTTTTTCTTGTACAAAAAGCATGGCATTGCAGTGACATCTAAATTAATTGTATAACCACAGTGAAATAAACTCCAAAATGACATAAACCTGAAAAGGTCATTGGTGGCCCTCTAATTATGTGATCCAATATATTTTATCATTTTTATGATGATGTCAAAAAAAAGCTGAAGGAATTAAATATTAACTCATATGTAAGAATATATAATTACATGAAGCACTAATAAAATATTTTTGCACTGAGCATTCCCAACTTAACTTTGTTATTGTTAAAACAACACTAATTCTCTATCCCTACACAACAGTTGTATGAAAATCCTTATTCAAACCATTTACTTAAATCCTAATTCAAACCCTTCAACTATATATCTATCAATATTATTCAAATAAATACAAAGCTATATTTATAAGCTGAATATCGCAACTACTGAGATTTAACCATTTTTAATCACGATTTTAGTTCTTAATCAGTGAAGACAAAGTCTAAGTTTTATACAGTAACATACATACAACAGCACACTATTCTATGGATTTCAAGTCAAACAGCACATATTGAAACATTTACACACATTTATAATCAAACACATGTGTAAACGCCAATCTGCGTAAAATATTTAAAAAAAACATCATTATAATATTAAAATTGTTACTACGTTACAAGTGCATAATAATAAACATGTTTCTTCACAGAACAATGTTACAGGCATCCAATAAACTAACAATACACTTCCTAAAGTTTTCAAAGTATATCATGAAAAAACAACAACTTGATTTTGCAAATACGATGATAATTTCTAAAATTTTATTCTTTTACTGTATTCCTGTTGTTATTAAAAAATCAATTAACTATCAAAACAACTGAAACAAGTGTTATTTAAGTAGCAACAAGTACTATTAACTAAACAACATTAACATCATTACCATAAGACCTGTATTATTATTAACTTATTC